GAGACCTGGGGGAGCAGATGGGGCTTGTTTGGGGGTTCATTCTGGGGCAGTGACGGGCGCACCGTGTTGAGTGTGTGAGCGAAGGCTGGTCAGAGCAGCGCCCCTGTCACTTGGAGAGGATGGTGCTGCAGGGTTTCATAGATTCATAGATTCTAGGACTGGAAGGGACCTCGAGAGGTCATCGAGTCCAGTCCCCTGCGGTTGGATGGTTCTTGGTCTTTACAGGTGTTCGTCTCGCACTGGCCCCTGGGAAAGCGCTGTGTCCCACACGTGTCCTTGCTGCGGACAGCTCTGCTGTGCCTGGGGAGTGGGGTTGTCCACCATGTTACTTGTCCTGGAGCTTTAGATGATCTTAGAGGCAACCTAGGCCCTTGAGTGCTTTGGAGATAAAGGCCAAGACCATGACTGTGACTTGCTGGTCCCTGGAGGGCTGGCATGGGGCGGAGAGCAGGTGCGACCTGCTGCGGTGTTGCTGAGGAGGCCGGCTGCCGTTGGGCTCCCTGGGGGTTGATGGCTTCATGCCCAGGTGTAGCGTGTTGCTGGATGCTGACCGGAGCTCTCGGAGAGTCGCCGTTGGCTCAGTGTGAACGCAGCCACTTCCCTGCAGGTCCCAGGCTGCAGATTGCCCATCCCTGCCAGTTGTGCCTCCTTGCAGCCCAGTTTACCCTGGCCGCCTTGCGCCGTGTGCCATCGCGTGCGCCAGCAGGCGGCGGGTGTGACGTGCTGCCGTGTCAGGACGGCGGTGTTTCACACTTGCTTTGCCCGAGCATGAACAACCGTGCGTGGGGCACAGCGACGCTGAACGAGGCCAGCGTGCTCCTGTCCCCACTATTGCCAAGGGACACGTGCTTTGTTACCTCCTGTTTGTCCAAACGACTCCCTCCCTGGCTTTGGGAGGCCGCTTCGAAGAGGGTGGTTCAGGACGGTCACCCAGCTGTGTACAGACCAGGACTGACTGGTCGTCTTCTACCTTTATTAATGGGCCTCACGGGTCCTCTCTCCCAGTATCTTCATGCGAGCTCTTCCTATCCCCTTGGGGCCACGTTATCTGCTTCGGCTTTAATGCTGCCTTGCAGCCATGACTAGCTCAGTATGCTGCCCCCCGCTCCCCCACTGGAGGTGTGAGTCCAGTCGCCTCCCCATGGAGACGCGTTGGCTGCTGCTTCGGAGCCTGCTGTGACTTAATGATGGTGCATGAGACAGAAACTTAGGCACTGTGTTTGTACAGCACCTAGCACATGCCTGGGCTCCCAGGTGCTAACACAGCACAGACAATAAATAATAATAATAGTTGAGGCATTGACTTTCAATGAGACTAAGTCTCATCGCACATGCACTACAGGCCCTGGCTCCTGGAGTCATGGGAGTACACCAGACTCTCAGCCTTCATTCCTCTAGCTTTTATCGTTGCAAAGGAAAGCTGGGAAATGTGATTCGAGAGTCACCAATGTGGCAATGTCTGCCTGAGTTTGCAGAGAGCCTGAGACAATTGCTCTGAACTGTGCAGTGCATCTCAAGAGGGTGTTAACTCCAAGACCGCTGCTCTGGGGGGTGCTGGAAACCCATCCCAGTAGAGGACTGTGTGAGTGGCAGGAGTGGAAGAGTGCAGCGGGCCCAGCCCCCACCCCAGCAGGGACAAGCAGCTGGTGGGATACATGCTGCCTCCCACCCCCACATTGCCATTCCTGCTGCTTTCCCTGGGGTTCTCGTGTTGCTGCCCTGGCCTCTTGGGGTGGGAAGCCTCTGCCACTCCTAGTGGAGGGTGGGACAGTGGGGTGGGGCCTTGGGGGAGTGGCCCTGGCCCATGGGGTTCCTAGGGCCCCTGATTGCCTTTCTCCAGACCTGGTCCCAGCCATGCCCACACTGCTCCCTTTCCAGCAAGCTATGCGCACTTCTAACTTTTGCCAGCTCAGGGAACAAAAGTGTGTTTGCTCCATCTTGAGGCTGCTGGGAGGTGCTGCGCCCTTGTCCCGGTCACGGCGTGCAAGGGAAGAGCTGCTGAGCCGTTCTGTTACCGGTTAGCCGGGCGGGCCCTCGGCCTCGGGACTGTGTTTTCAGTCAGTGCCTTTCTCTTGCTGTTCATCTCGGATTTGTACAGATCTACAGAAAGCTATCTCCCGAGTGCAACGATTGCTGTGAGTCTTTCCAGCCAGCCAGAGCCGCAGGAGGAGCTCAGCATCTCTGAAAACCTGGCTTGGTGGGCGTCCCAGGGTGGGCTCTGAAAAAGGGAACCCCAGACGAATGACCTGGTTTGCCCACCAAGTGTGTGGGGTTGGCGCGGGAGTGGGGGAGGTCGTGGGTCTCTTTTCGTCAGTCACCTCCTCTCCCCCTGCTCCCCGGGCCCCTAGCGGGAGGCCTAGAGAAACATTTCGGAGCAGAGGGAATCGGTGCAGGCGTAGCTGGGGGGCAGGCTCAGGCCCGGGTCATACAGGAAGTCGGATGAAATGGCTTTGAACTCCGTGACCCTGACGGGAGACACCCCGGCTCTGCAGATAGGGTGGGGGAGGCCTCGAGACCAGGGGGCCGGGCAGGGCGACACCGGGAGTGCCCGCTAACGGGACGCGCCGCCTCTGGGCCCGGCTGGGCCAGTCACTGCCTCGGGGCTCTTGGGCTTAGCAGCACTGCCCCGTGTCTGACTGCGGAGGGCTCCTGAATGGGCCCGGGAGGGGGTGTCAGCCTGGCCCTGTATTAACAACGCCACCACCACTCGGTGCTTACCAAAGCACTGTCCCCGGGGAGCTGCCCCTGCCAGAGGGCTGGGGCGCAGCCTCACCTGTGTCAGGTGTATCCCCCCAGGTGACGGGACTGTTGCCAGGGCTTATGGGATGGGAGCAGGTGACTCGAAACCGGGCCTGCTGGGAGCGGAAGGCCAGGGGATGCCAGTTCTCTGGGGCTCCCAAGCAGTCAGGTCTCTGCAAGGGGCTGGGGAGGGCTCAGCACAGGGGTCTGGAGCCCAGCTGGACGGGCTGAAAAGGACGGTGGGGCGGGGCGGGTGGCCGGACTGGCTGGCTGTAAGCCAGGAGAGGCCCTGATAAAGCGCTGGGAAGCCTTTCTGAGCCTATTGGCAGATGCTGCTGTGGCTCGCTAGGCCTGGGGATGAAGGCTGGACGGTTCTGTGGAGTGTTTGATGGGGGTAAACAACACCCACAAGGGGAGCAGTGTGGTGGTTAACCAGCTGCCCTGGTTTGCAGCCGAAGCAGACAAGATAGACAAAGGGAGATAGAACATGCAAGGAGAAATACAAACTTACGTTCAACCTGAAGTGCCAGGAATCCCCGATTCTCTGTTGCAGCCAGGAGGTCAGACTAGATGATCAGAATGGGCCCTTCTGGCCTTTAGTTGTACGAATCTAAGTGCCCGGTTCTGTGCTCTAACCACTAGACCAGGGGTTCTCAAACTGGGGGTCGGGACCCCTCAAGGGGTCGCGAGGTTATTACATGGGGGGTTGCAAGCTGTCAGCCTCCACTCCAAACCCTGCTTTGCCTCCAGCATTTATAATGGTGTTAAATATATTAAAGAGGGTTTTTAATGTATAAGGGGGTGGCACTCAGTGGCTTGCTGTGTGAAAGGGGGCACCAGTACAAAAGTCTGAGAACCCCTGGACTAGACCCCACTGGGCTGCGTAGCTGCTGCTGAGCCAGTCGATCCCGTATAACACTTCCTGGTCTTAGGCACGAGCTTGTCTAGTAGGACGCCGGGGCCTGCCTTGTGTCCCACAGACATTAGCAGAACTCCTCTGTCCAGCCGGTCCTTGTGCTGCCCCCGAGGTGTCTCAGGCTGTCTGTACAGTATGTGAGTGTGTGGCAAACCCCAGCCGCCGGCTCCATCTTTCTCACCTCTCTGGGGCCCACCTTTCATGGGCTGCAAATGTTCCACAGGCCCCCAAATTGGGGTGCAGCCGGGCCTCTCCCTCAGCGCCGGCACGTCTCGGGGGCACCATTTTTCGTTGTCGCGGCACGGTGGTGCCACTGGGTGAACGAGCACCTCCCTGGGAGCGGTTTCCCAGCTGCCCCCCAATATCCTGTGCCGGGCTGGCTCCTGCCGCGCTCCCAGACCCGGGCGTGCCTGTGGACCGAAGATGATTCCAAGCTCCACCACACATGGCCAAACTCCCAACCCCCAGCCCAGTGTTTGAGTTGAAAGGGGGCAAGACAACTTATGGCACAGAAGCGTGGGGGTGGGGGTGGCGGTCATTATATTTAAAGGGGCCTCCCTGTCGGAGCTGCAAACCCCACCTTTTGGCACCTCCAAGGCGTCAGAGGCGGCACTGGGGACGTAAGGTCCAAATGGAAGGATTTGGGCTGGCAGGTGCGATTCGCTGCGAGTGCAAAGCGGTGCCCCCAAAAGCGGAGTCTGTGATGGGCCTGAGGGTGGGTGAAGAAGAACCCGTTTAGCACAGGCAAGAAAACGCAGCTTGGGATGTCCTTGCAGTGGACGCTGAGCTGGTTTCAGGCAAGAGCCTCTTGTACCTGCCTGCTCCCTGGGAGAGATTAGCTACTCGCCTCCAGAAAGCCGGAGGTGAATCTCCCAGGGTGAGATCTTTTGCCTGGGCTAAGTGGATTTTAAATCCAGTTCTCCATGCACAGAGGACACAGGCCAGCCCTGGGGAGCGTAGAGATCTGTCATTCACACCAGGATTGTTGCTGGTGTCAGGGAACTTTAGGGAAGTTCCTTCTTTCCCCATCCCGAGCCCATTGTATCCTCCCAGAAATGCACAGCTCCCCACAGCTTATGCATTAGGCAATGCCTCATGCCTAATGCAAGCTCCCTGAACTAGGAATGCTGTTCCTGTTGCTCGGGAGCCTCTGCCATACCCCATCTCCTTAGATCCAAATCAGAGCAAGAACCGAGGGGGCTGGGAAGCCAGGCAGGTGTGTGACCTAAACCCGCCTTGTGTCAGTGCAAGGGAATTTCCACCTTGCCTGAACCCCTGTTCCTGGACTCAGTCCCTTTTAAATCCAAGCACCCGCTCACTGGGGGGTTTGTGCTTCCTCCCGTAGATATGAAGCGACCCCTGAGCCTGTCCCACCCTGCTGAGAACAGGCTCCAGCTGGTCGAGACGGCGGGGAGCCCGTCGGAGCAGCGCGTGAAGCGGGAGAAGAAGCACCAGTCGTTCACGCTGTGCGAGGTCTGTAACATCCAGCTCAATTCGGCCGCCCAGGCGCAGATCCACTACAATGGCAAATCCCACCAGAAACGCCTCAAGCAGCTCAGCAAAGGGAAGGTGCCGGCGGGCCAAGGTGAGTGCTCGGCCGGGAGGGCTCCCAGCAGGGCAGCTGGAGCCCGGGGGCGCTGGGAAGGGCTTGCCTCTGGGCCCGGCCCCTGTCGTCATGGACGTACGTTGGGGGACTAATGGCCCTGTTGCGTGGCTGGGGTTGCTGCCCTGGATTCCGACTGCTGTTGCATATAAAAATTCACCGTCTCAGCCAACCGCCAGCCTCCCCCAATGAATCCAGCCAGTCGGGGTGGGAGTTAGGGGGGATACCGCAAGCCCCCAGATAAAGGAATGTCTCCGCCTCCTATTGGACACCTGTCGCTCGCGAGGATCTCTGAACCCGGATGGCTTGGTGGCCCCGTGGCCAGGCCATGTTCTGCTGCGGCCTGTTCAGCTGCGGAGGCAGATCCCGTCCGCACGGCCTGGGTTTGCCGCTCTTCGGCGTCGGCGTGTTGTTCCCGTGCGTACACAAGCGCTGTCGCTAGCGCCCTGGGTCGCCAGCGTCCACTCTGGGTTTGTTTGGATGCCTTTTGCAGAGGTGCTGGGGGCTGCCGCGCCCCCTGGCTTGACGTGGTTTCCATCATATCCAGGGTTTACAGTTTGGTTCAATGGCTCTCGGCCCCCCCACTGTACACATTGTGCCAGCCCCTCTGGTCTTTTGTGCACAGGAATGGCCGTGCCGGCCGCCCTTGGGGATGGGGTAGCTGTTACCTGGCCAGGTTGCTCCGTTTGGATTCGGACATTCTCCTCCCCTGGCAATGGGGCTACCTGTTTAGTGGTGTCATTTTATTCCTTCTGGTCTAGTTGCCCGGCACGTTGATCTTTTGTAACTACCTCATGATGGTTCCCTTTGGCTCACGAAGCTCATTAGATGTTGGTGCTAAGAGTGAAGGATCAGTTTTCACAAGTGCTGTCCCGGGCAGGTTGGCCCTCGAAGGGGAGATGGGCCCCACTCCCCCTGTGACACAACCTATTTGCTGCACCAGGTGGGGAGAAATGAATTGTCAAGTGATAGCCGGTCCTGTGACTAAACCAGGGTGCTGCATAGCCACCCCTGGCCAGGAGGGGACACGCGAGAGGTGCCTGACCCTGCTTAAATGGCCCTTGTCAAATGCAAAAAGTCAGTGGAAATCAATAGGACTTGGGCGCTTCTGAAAAGTTTCACCCGCAGTCCTGCTGCCCGTGGGTTTCGGAAGTGGGGACCTTAATAAAGCACCATGCGGTACTGTGCAGTATTCACACGTAGATCCCTTAAATCCACCACCGCTGTCTTCTCTATACAATTCTTTGCCATTTGTGCTGACGTTTCTGCTGCTCCGTTTGGCTGTGTGTGATCAGGGCTCGGCATGGTGTTTGCACGGACGTGTCACTGGTGAAATGTGGGCCGTTGTCTGTTGTTAGCTCATTTGGAGTCTCATGGTGAGCAAACAGTGATTTGTGACCTGCTGTGACATTGTTACTTGATATGTTGTACCACAAACTGCTCCGTTAAAAGCCAAGAGGTAATCTTTCCATTTAATTCAAACAGCCCTGCACCCGTGTTAGACCCATGTTACAGCTCATGTTTTCCATTTTTGCTTCCTGTATTTATTGCCAAATTCACAGCTGCATAACTTCTCTTAGCTGGCAGCCGTCATGCTTGTCCTGAATAGAACTTCGTGGGCTCGGCTCTTTCACTTCTCTGTGTCCAGATGGCCACTGGGCTGTGCTCAGTACATGAGACTTTGTGCCGTATGGTATTGTGATGTAAAGTCCTTTGCAGAGAATTCCCATCATGTGCAGCAGCTCCTTGTACAGTCCCAGTCAGACAGTGCATGGAGGTGCCCTGGTTTTCCACCTAGGAGTCTTCTATCAAACTCTTGTACGGTTGGGTCACTTCATGTTTCTCATTTTGTTTTGCGAATGGGGAGCACCTCAGTTTTCTTTACTTCAAAGGCCTTTTCCTGCTGCTCCTCGCTTTCGCTAGACATGGGTTCCCCATAAAATGCATCCGTTTATATGGAGCTCTTCACCAGAGCCCAGGTTTCACATTTACCCAGTGTGTTTGCAACTTCCTGGCCATTTTTCCGCAGTCTGGGCAGCGCTTGTGCGGCAGTTTCTCTGTTGTGGCTTCCAACTTTGTAAGTCCTGTTTCTGCCTCAGCTGATTTCAATGAAACTGCTTGCAACCAACACCAACCAGTAGTATTTCTTTCTGTTGAGGAAGAAGGGGGATGTTTAGCTAGTCACTCTGGCAGATGGGCTCTAAGTTCTGTGCCTCATATTGTTTATTTGTACAGGGCCCCGTTGTGCTCAGAGCTGTACGGACACATAGTCCTCATGTAGCTCTTTTATTCTAGAGCTTTTCATCTTTATGTCTCAAAGTGCTTTCCAACGGAGGGTCAGGATCATTACCCTCATTTAACAGATGGGGAAACTGAGGCACGGATACTTGATTTGCCCTAGGTCACTGAGCAGGCCAGTAGCAGAGCCAAGAATCGAACCCAGGTCTCATGAGTTCCAGTCCTGTGCGTTCATGTTACCTCTTAAACATGCCAAGTGTTTTCCAGCTGCCCGTTGAAATGGAACCTCTTTAGAAAGTTTGTTGTTTTTAAGCAGCTTCTGTTTTTGGAGGTCCAAGTTCCTGGAATTGTTTATTGTCTAATTAGCATAAACGGCTTTGATCATTGTCTGCTTTGCAAGAAAACCATGGAGTATCCTCCTGGCATGCAGGGTCACCTGTCCACTGGATAATTCGGCTACCAGCAGCTCGCAGTGGTGCAGAATTGCATCTTAACCTGTTGTCAGTTTGCAACATAACTCAGTGAATACATTTCCCTGCACCTGGACAGGGCCCCTGCTTAAAAAAAAAGTCAGCTTGATCATTCAGAGTCTTCCTCTTTGATTTCCTGGCTGGAGGAGGGGACGTGCCCAGCGTCACCCAGGGGTAATTGACAGAGCTGGGAACAGAACCACTGGGCAGTGTGCTGGCTCTCCACACACCTCTCCTGTCTCAGCAGCTGTTCTCAGGAGCTCTCATGGTGGCTGTGGTATGTCGGTGTGGGGGAAGGCGCCTTCTCACGGGCCAAGTGGAGTTCCCTGGCGATAATAAATACAGATCAGTGGCTTTTCCCGGGGGGAGGAGCCATTAGTTCTGTATGAAGCTTCAAGACTGTTCATCAGGATCTGCTGACGTTCCCCCGCATGCCTCCATTTCCCTGACGTGGGCTTAAAAATGTCACCGCCAGCCTTGTTGCTGGCAACCTTTACCAGCCTCCTGAAGCGTGAGCCGGGGCAACGGGTGGCTGGAAATGACAAATTGAGGCTGTAAACCAGCTGACGGGTGTGGGGGGCTTGGTTCCCTTCGGTACTGCGCCTTGAGCTGGTCGCTCTGGGCTTCAAGCCTGGCGCCGGGGGGGGTTGAACTAGGTAACGTACATTCCGTCCTGCAGGAGGTGCTGTGCCAGGAGCCCCCAATCGCCTCCCTTTCTCCCCAGCCTGGGCGGGCTGGGCTAGAGATGAGGTCCTGCCAGATCGTCTCGGAGGCTCGTTGGGAGGGGCTGGCCGGGAGAGGGAGTAGCCAGTGGGAACCCCCTGCTCAGCATGTTGATCCCCAAAGGCTAAGAACCTGCTCCAGCTGGCAGCCTGTTCCAGTCCTGTAGCAGGCATGGGTCCTGCTTTGAGCAAGGGGTGGGACTAGGTGACCTCCTGAGGTCCCTTCCAACCCTGATAGTCTATGATTCTATGAGCTCATGTGGTAGCGCAGGGGTCGGCAACCTATGGCACGTGAGCTGATTTACTGTGGCATGCTGCTGCCAGCCTGGGATCCCCACCGCCGGCCCTGCTCAGCCCGCTGTCGGCCTGGATGGACGGAACCCCGGGCCGGCAGTGGGCTGAGTGGGACCGGCGGCCGGGACCCCCTGCTGGCAGGGGCCGGTGGACGGAACCCCGGGCCGGCAGTGGGCTGAGCGGGACCGGCGGCCTGGACCCCCCGCTGGCAGGGGCCGGTGGACGGAACCCCAGACCGGCAGCGGGGTGAGCGGCTCAGCCCGCTGCCGGCTGAGGTCCCAGACACCGGTCCGCTCAGCCTGCTGCCAGTCTGGGGTTCCATCCGCGGTCCCTGTAAATGTATAATGTGTTACTGGCACGCAAAACCTTAAATTACCGCAAATAAATGAAGACTTGGCACACCACTTCTGAAAGGTTGTGTGAGCCCCTTAAGTCTTCAGACGAAGGCTAAAGAGGGATTTGAACGGTTCTTACACCTGGTGAATTTCACCCAGTGCGATGTCATAAGAAATGAGCGAACTCGAATGCAGCTTGTTTGTTAAAGTATCGAAATCAGAGGGTTTTAAAAAAGAGAGAATAAATGATATAAAATAATATGAAGTTGGACGGAGACTGAACGTCCTCTGGGCCAGAATTGTATCCTGGCAGACAGCTTGTCTGCAGCTAAATCAAAGGTAGCTTTTATGGTTACTGATAGATTTTTCTCATGATCTCCCTCTGGCTTCTGGGATTAATTCCGCAAAGACTCTAATCATTTATGTTGTGCAGCAGAGAGCCGTGGAAAGAATATCTTGGCAAACAGAGACGATAATCAGCACTGTTACTATTTATTAACTGCGCCCAAAAGTATCCCAACGAAATCTAATGATCATTCACTGGGGATTTCTTTGTCAGGTAAACCGTGGATTTTTTGCTGTCAGACGCTGGATTTCAATGCAGGAAGACGCTGGGAAGTTGGGATGAGAGATGCTTTCGTTCCTAGGTTGCAAGTTCAAATCCAGCCTGGGTTAGGAGTGACTTAAAGTGTCTTGTGCTCGTAGGTGCTTTTGCAAATCCCATCCATTTTTATTTGTGTGGCTAGAAGCCCCAGCCAAGATCAGGGCCCTGCTGTGCAAGGTGCTGTACAAACACAGCGCAAGAGACAGTCCTGCCCCCAAGGAGCTTCCAGTCGAACTCAATAAGACAGACAAAGGCCGGGAGGGGAAAGTGAGACGGGGAAGTGACTCGTCCAAGGGCACAGAGCAGGTCTCTGGCAGCG